CAATGTTGAAAACATTTGAGATGTTTGATATTTTTGTGGAAACCTTGGTACATTATTTGAAGAATAAGAACAGTGTTTATTTGAAATAGACTTTTTGTTAGTCTTTACTATCACTTTTGATCTATTTGACCCTCTAGCTCTAGCACTTTCTATTCTATTTTAATTCTACTTTATCTACATTTACTAAATGTAAATGTAAATTTAATGCATTAACTTCTGAAGTAAAAATAAAATGAAATCTTACTGACCACAAATGACAATCCAAAAATCACTAAATTAGTATGCCATGTCTCTCTTTTCCCAATAGGCTTCCAGTTTACGTTCCGACCGGTGTGGCCTCTTTTCCTAATGAGGTGATGCATTCCCCTAAACTGTGGGTGACCCAGAAATACCATAAGCTCAAGACTTACACTCCCATGGCTCGCGGGGGCCATTTTGCTGCTATGGAGGAGCCACAGTTATTGGCAGAGGATGTTCAGAACTTTGTCAAGATTGTGGAAAAGAGAAAGAAGAAATAAACAGTTCTATGTCCTTTTATTCATATTCATGGGGACTAATGGTCCTCACTATTTAGATGCATAGATAAATGAATCTAAACAGAGATGACCATGAAGTAAAAAAACAACCCCTGGACGACAACAAATGACTAATCCTAATCATTACTGTGTCAAAAACTATTATAAAAAAAAATGCATTACATTCATTTTATGTAATAGCACTGCTTAATCCTAGAAATGTATTAACGCAATTTTATTTGTATCATGTGCCTTAATTTTATTGCCGTTTAAATAATTATATTATAATGACAGGAGCTTACAGTGATTATTTGTGGAGATGCCAAAGTGTTTTGACAGTTTTCCGAATGGGACCACAGGAATCAATGTAATGCTGATGTTAAACTGTGTGAAATGATAGTCAATCCTTTATTGAAGCACTATTTAATTGCAGTTATTGAATGATAGCAATACGTAGTAAAGACAGAAAACACAAAAGACTGTCGGGAAGACATTTTTATTGTTATCAAGACAAATTTTATATCACTTTCTCATTACAAACAATTCATCAAGAGGAAAAAATGAGTGTTCATGATTCAATGCCCACTAGAGTGGCTAAGCATATCTGTTCCTCTATTCTGCATTCATCTACATAAATAATGGTATCATCGCTATAGATGCTCTGCTGGCCAATGCAACTGCCTCTTTTTCACATAATGGAAAGTTCTTGGCGAGAACTTTCACGACCAATCAAATAAAGAGACGCTAAGTGAAGGCACGACCAAAGCAATGAAGCTGGTCAGACTCCATTGCTTATGGTTTTCTGGAATGCATATTTGGGAAAATAAAATAGGAACACTTCTATTAAAAAAAAAATATATTCTCATAATATTTATACAAACATAAACATTATGTATCGAAATATTTATTTTGCACTAATGAGAGTTGCGCTTTCCGTAGAAAATTAGTATTTAAAAATGTCATTAAAAAAACAATTCTCACAGTAGAGTTCAGTGTTTTTTTTTTTCTACATAGGCCCCCAAGGTCAATTCTCTTAGGGTTACACAGTTTTAGATTGTAGGACAGCATAGTTTATAATAGGTCAATCCCTGCCTGTGCCTTAACAATTTGTCCTGTTGTAGGCCGTTTTAAAATGTGCTTGTGGTGATTTATTCCTCCTTTGATCGCTCACAGGGGAAATGCATTCTGAATGAAGACATTCTTAGGACAAAGAGAAATTATCAATGGAACAATTCTGATGCAATATTCAGTCTGTAAATGCAAGTGTTCTATACTATTAAAAGTATGGGTGTTTTAAAGCATTGTGCACACATAATTCAAGTAATTTCAGGTATGACAGATGGCAACTCTACATGATCCAGTCTTACACATACATACATACATTATGACACTAATAATGCAAAACAAAATGTCTTCTACACAATGAATATAATGACAAAACTTATGAGAAATCAAGCTATGTTTACATTTTACAATAAAGAGATGATCTGTATTGTATTGATTGGAATGCTCAAGTTACTAAAATCCAAACTAATTTCTCATTTTCACACCAGAATGTCATCATTATTCTAATACATTGAAATGGATGGATTAAAAAATAGTGTCATTGCGTGTTAAAGAATGACTGAACATTAAATTCATATCTATTACATACCAGATGCTTGCTAGCAACTACTATCCCCAAACTGACAAATGTTTAATTTTGCATCTAAAACTGTTAGGCTAAAAATTTCCTAACAATGTCATAATTCATTGCTGTGAATATATTTCTGGAGCTCATAAGAAATGTAGAGTAGTCATCACTCAACTAAAGGTAAAACCCTTGGGGCCATTTATACAGGATGTGTACTTGCGTTCAGAAGCAACAAACAACTTCAATGGAATTGAAGGCGCATCAAGATCGATTTAAAAAGATTGTTTAACATGAAGTAGCGTCCTAAAAATATGGTGTTCATTGCGTAAGCTGCTAAAAAAAAGCTGCATGTAAAACAGTGCAGATGGACAAAAAGTAGCTAAGACAGTGCAATACGGAATCGATCTGAATGAGAAGTGAACAAGTGAGAAGTGGCACAGCGAAAAAAGATGTCAGTATTTCTTGCGTTTAAAAAAAGCGAGTGCTCCAAAATGGGAAAAACGCAGGGTCTCAAGCCGCTTTATTTTAACGCTTTTATTTTAACTAGTGCTGTCAAACAATTAATCGCGATTAATCGCATCCAAAATAAAAGTTTTTGTTTACATAATATATGTGTGCATACTGTGTATATTTATTATGTATATATAAAAGCACACACATACAGTACATATTCTGAAAATATTTACATGTATATTTATATTCATATAATTTATATTATATATAAATATATTTAATAAATTTTAACGTTTTAGTTTAATGCTTTTATTTTAACACAAATTTTAACTAATTGAAAAAATTTAAAAACGCATCGCTTATGAGTGCGATGCTGAAAAAGCAGCGAGTTATGGACGCAACAGTGTGTTTACTTTGGAAAATAATTTTAAAAACACACCACATTGGAATGCAAAAACGCATTCTGTGTGAACTGACTTCTTATGTTTCCACATATGATGAACATGATTACACATAGGATGATTCTTTGGAGATGAATGTTAAACTGAAACCTGTCGCCAGACCAAGATGATACACCCACAATAAAGAACCAAAAAAAGAAAAAAGAAACATCAGTTGAGACTTCATGAGACGTGAGACTTCCACAAACTGTTGACCCAGAGCGCATAACTTGAATATATAACCGACTGCCTGTGCTTGTGAGATTGTGACAGGTTCAGAGAAAGCTTTCATTCCAGTCATAGGCACAATACAAGGACCTAGGAATCCTACAGCAACTGCAAATGGTATGGCTTAGACTGAGGTCTGAAGTTAGGCAAGACAGCAAAACACAGAAAATGCCACTATAACATCAAAAAACGAATCAAATGACAAGAAAACGAGTGCAACCAAATCGATCCATATGCTAATACTGAGAATTATGGTCAGTAACTTGCACTGAGGTTTCAATTCTATCCAGTTAGTCTTGATACTATAACAAGTATCTTCTATACACTGAAAAAAATGTTTCATTCATCCAATTAAAACAATTTAGGGTAATGATTCACATCTGTATTTTTTAACTTGAGCCAATGAAAAATAAATAACTTCTATGATCATTACCCTAAATTTTTTTAATTGGATGAATGGAAACATTTTTTTCAGTGTATATAAGATCAAACATTTGAATAGGCTATTATAACATTTAAAGAGCTTGTCTACATCAAAATACAGTTTTCTAAAAAAAATCATCCATACCAAAATAATAAATCTAGGCAAATTTGAAACTTCCTTTTTTGAGATGCTAAAGTATAGTTAGCCAGGCCCTTACAACGCAAAGCATCATGGGAATTCAATAGTGAGGTGTCCAGATAAAATGGTCCTATCAGGGTCAGGCCCTTGCTCCATTTGGATGAGATGATGAAACGGCAAACTAATGCAACAATCCAGTCACAAAACTACGTCATACATTCATATGAGGAGGCACTTGTCACAAACAATGGGCTTCAATGAGGGAACTAGATTCAACATGCATTAGATTCATTGTATCTATCACAATATGAGACTTGCAGATGGTCTTTTCACGAATGTCAAGCTAAACGTTTACCACATTTAAATTAGCAATATTAGCAATTCTTCATTCACTGTAAACTTTTAACTCAGTTTAGGGAACAAACACATTGACAATAGTGCTTTCAAGGCAAACAGAATGGAAAGGCTAATGTAGTGAACTTTGGAAGAAACAAAATCGTTGGGAGAGAAAAACCCCAAAACTCGAACGGCACTGACATTAAATGACTACAGATTTGTGCAAACTGTGGTCTTTCTGATGATAAACCATTCATCTTAAACCTAACGTTCAGCATGATTTCTTTGTGATTTGTGCGTGTACGTATATCACGAACCAGCAATATTCAACAAGTATTCTTGAGATTCAATTTAGGCATGACACGTAAACTGAAAGATTTAGGTGATCACTTGTGTTGCTTCAGCTCAACACATCTCAATTTGTTCAAGATCTAAACATCATAAAGTACCACATATAAATAAGACAACCCCTCGCCTCAATCACTGGCAGTTGAGGGCACAGCGTACCAATATTGTAAAGGGCCCACAACACAACCCACAACTTATGGACTAAAGGCCCGTTCACACCAAGCACGATAACTATAAAGATATAGTCCTAAAAATCGTTCTCAGTATTAAAGAATAGCATAGTTCACACCACAACTATTACGATGATGATACAGAGAAACAATATCGTTGTGATCACTTTCAAAACGATTTTTTTCCAGCTGATGAACGATAAAACACTAACAGCCAATCAGAATCCATCCTGCTGTAACGAGCTCAAGAATTTAAAGCGGCAGACGCATGTGCGCTTAGAATAAACAGACGATATCGTTCGCTGGTGTGGACGCTAATATCGTTATCTTTATAGTTATCGCTCTTGGTGTGAACGGGGCTTTAAGGTTATTACCAAATTCAAGAGGAGAAAACAGTGAGATTTTGTTCTTCCCAGAGCCTGTGGGAAACTAAGACCCTTTAGGACTATCGCTGTGTGGGAGATTTCACAAGGCTGTTTCCTGCACTGTATGGGCCAGGTTAAAAGTAGGCTGGGCGGTTATCTTTTCTCCTTCCTCTTCCCTGAGCTTTTCTTCCTCTTTAGTATAGGCAACGCCATTGCTCTCTTTCTGGGCCATCTGGTAAGGCTGACGTTCCAGGCCTTTGGACTATAGCATAGGCACATACATACATAAGCATTCATAATGGAAGAAGGAATGCTGTATTTGAAACTGGATATTGATTCGTAGCATTTAAGTGACTTACATTGTCTTCCAGTGGAGTAACACAGCAGAGTTTCTCCCTGTAGCGTTGGGGCAGAAAGAACAGCAAATTGCCAAGCACAGGGTAAATCGTACCTGGGTTTAACTCTTTCTCTTTCCAGGGCCCTGAGTGAACACAAAGCACAAAAACTTTGTTGTTGCAGCCTAATGATCAATGTTGTTATTGGTAACTACAACTAAATCTATTAAAAATCTATTTTAAAAAAACCTTCAAATATACTTATTAGATAAAACGTTAAAAATTTGAGATGTTGCCATGATGTACCAAAATTGAAACTAAAATAAAACAAATAAAAATTGAAGCTACATAGAAATATTTAAAAAATGACGTAAAAAAAATAATAGTATATAAATAATACAAATTCTAAATAATACATATTCTTAAAACGTGTTTTCAAAATTAAATGATTAACTTTTATATGTAATTGTACTAAAGCAAAAATACATTTAAATATTATCTTGAATATATTTACTTTGTATTAGTGTAAGAGTGTATCTACTCAAAACTGTAATATAAAAAGTATCAATTTAAGCTCAATTTAAATGTATTTGTAAAGCACTTTTTCCACATAACTCTATGCATATTCGTTTTATTATTTCAAATTACATTTAGTTTTTCCTTTTCTCTGAAATTTTTGCAAACCCACTAGCACCACCTTGCGGACTTCAATTTGAAAACACTTCCATAAATTATTTGTGTAATTTTACTAGGCCAATGAATTCTAACCTTATCTTTAACATTTCAGTTTAGACAACATGCAACATATTCACAAAGGTAGCTTTATCAGCAGCAAAACAAAACTTTAAACTGCTTTAAAGACTCACTGATAGAACCTAGGATACGGTAAGACGATTAAGAGTGTTTGATGTGTTTTGGAAACACACTTTACCCGTGAGAAAGCTGACCAGTAGTCCCACCACAACAACTGTGGCAGAATTATGAGCACTGTACCACATGTATGATAGAGAGTACAAAGCCTGAACTCCAGAAGGCCTGAGAAGACAAGAAGATAAAATAAATGAGCCAATTCAGCCTGTAATTTAACTAAGATTAGTCTAAGCAGTTTTTGCAACTGGCTACAGAAGCTAAAATAATTGCTTTCTGATTCGTCTGATGGAATCAAGCATTTTAGAACAGGAATGTCTTGAGCACCATTACTTTATTAAAAATATGGACCTTGGTTTAGGTGTGATGAGTGTCGTCATCACAGCTGTTGTCATGTTTCCCACATCAGGTATGACAGTGGCATTTATCACAGGTGGTACAGATGCAGACATTCGTGAAACAAAGCTGCCAATACCGATCCAGAAAGCCATGACCAGCCCTGATACCAGCCCAACCAGAGCACCCTGAAAACACACTCAGTCAGTAAGATTTAAATAATAATAATAATAATAATAATAATAGTACTTTTAATAAGCAAGAATGAATTAAACTGATCAAAATTGAAGACTTCTACATTGTTAAAAAAACATATTTATTTCAAATAAATGCTTTTTTAAACTTTTTTTTTTATTCATTAAAAAATCCTAAAGAAACAAATGTATCACGGTCTCCAAAAATTCATTAAGCAGCACAACTGTTTTCAACAGTGACAATAATAAGAAATGTTTGAGCAACAAAATCACATATTAGAATGATTTTTGAAGGATCATGTGACACTGAAGACTGGAGTAATGATGCTGAAAATTCAGCTTTGCATCACAGAAATAAATTACATTTTAAAATCTATTCAAATAGAAAACTTCATAGAAAAGTTGTAATGATATTTCAGAATATTACTATTTTTTACTGTATTTCTGATCAAATAAATGCCGCTTTGGTGAGCATGAGAGACTCATGAAACTAAAAAAATCTTACTGACCGCAATCTTTTGAATAGTTTTGTGTATATGTGGATGCTTTGCTTGTTTGACTTACAGTGGAATTGGCCCAAGGGAAAAACATCCCGAGACAGAAAAGGCCAAGAAGAGGTCCACCCATCATCCCAAATATACTGAGTGCTGCCTAAGGATGTTAAAGAGATTGTGAAAAAAACAGATATATAGATTATTGTTAACTTTATGAATGCATTACACTAAATTACACTTAAAATGTATCTGCATTTCTTATATTATTATATCATGGACCTCACCTGCAGCACAGAGCCCATTAAAGAGGCGATGTATGCCATAGCCAGACACACAAGACCATAGGCAAGAGCTGTGGGGGAATTTAATGACAAAAAAAATTACCCCACCATCCCAGGATTGCCTTTCAGCTTAGTATGGACAATATCTTGTACTAGACTCATTCTATGAGGAAGAGATGGACCACTCACTCACTTTCAGACAATTATTGTAAAATAGCGTACCCAACATTTTTGATAACAGGGTGGCACGGGCCTCCGTCATGGGTCGTACGTGAGGTTTGATCAGATCCTCCATGGTAACCGTTGCCAGGGAGTTGAAGGCAGATGAGATTGTGCTGTAAGATAAGCTTAAAGATCAATATCAACATCTAAGAAAACCTTTGAAAATTATAATAGGAGGAAATGTCCTCACAAAATCTGGTTGATACCTGAGAGCTCCGCTAAACAGACAGGCGACAAACAGTCCTGGTAAACCAGGAAGATCTCTCAACACATCCATTACAAAGTACAGCACCATCTGCAGATGGAGAGAGAGGTGGAGAGTGATTTTCCCATAATAACTGTCAAATGGTGTAATGATCTTGATATCAAAGAACGACAAGAAGTGTTAGGATAACAAGAAGGATACAGAAGTGAATGATCAAGGTTACAACACTTTTATCAAGAAGAAAAAATATAATGATAATGATTTTCAAAAACAATAGGCTGTTGCATAAAAATAAACAATCATTATTTTACTTTCTAATCATATGTATGGGTTTGGGGTTGGTAATATTTTTAATGTTTGCAGTTCAAAAGTACTGTAAAAACACTAATATTGTGAAATATTATTACAATTTTAATATATTTGAAATGCTGTTTATTCCAAAGCTGAATTTTCAGCAGTCATTACTCCAGTGTCACATGATCCTCAGAAATCATTCTAATAGGCTGATTTGTTGCTCAAGAAACATTTCTTATTATCAATGTTAAAAACAACTGTACTGCTTAATATTTTTTGTGGAAACCATAATACATTTTGTTCAATACCCACAGAAAATAGAATAGATGAATAGAAAGTTTTTATTTGTATTTATTCTAGGGCTGCACGATTAATCGCATGCGATATTTAATGCGCATCTTGCCAGTAAAGCTGGTTCTGTAATCAGCGGTAAATCTCCATCACT